GTAATGGCTTCAACTCAAGTGTAGGTGGCTGCACAATGGATGGAAGTAACTTGTTAGCCAAAACCGAATCTAAAATTGAGAATGAAGACTTACCAGAATGTGATGGCAATGACTCGAGGGCCGCGACCATTTCAAACACTTCACCACAAGGAGGCACGGCAATATGGTCAGATTCCATGCTGTGGGTTGCTTGGATTCCCCCACACTTGTTTCTTGCTCCTATGCCGTGCACTAAGGCTATTTCAAGTGCATCGTCGTTCATTCGATCCAAATGTACCTGTGCCAAAGAATCAACAATGTCAATAGCGAAACAAGAATGGTCCTCCATTGGATATTTAATGGTTTCAGAAAGATTAAAACGAATAATGTCTCCATCAAACTCCATGGTTAATGTTCCCATAAACACATCTATTTTTGTTCTCGCTGTTTTCATGAATGGTCGGCCTAGCAAGATTGGCAATGATGGAGCATGGCTTGAATCCTCCATTTCTAAGACATAAAAATCTGCAGGAAAGATAAGATGATTGACCTGCACTAAAACATCCTCAAGGACTCCCTTGGGATAAGCGTTAGAACGATCGGCCAATTGAATTATCACGCCATCCTGTTTTAACTCACCAAGGTTCATTGATTGATGCATAAATGGAATATGGCATAACATTAATAGAAGCACCTAAATCTAACATGCATTTTTTCAAATCTAGTGTTTCCAATTACACATGGGATAGTAAAGCTCCCTGGATCCTTACACTTTGGAGGTAACTTCCGTTGCAAAACCGCGGATACATTTTCACTTACCTTCACAACTTCTTTGTTTGAAATTCTTTTCCTAGTTGTGCATAATTCTTTTAAAAACTTTGCGTACCTGGGCACTTGCTTAATAGCATCAAGTAAAGGAATGTTCACTTGGACTTTTCGAAAGGTATCCAAAATGTCCTTTTCGCTTTCTTCTTTCTTCGATTGTGCAAATCTGTGAGGGAAAGGAACATTGGGCAGATTAGTGTTCGAAATCACAACATTTGGAACATTCTTACCTGAGGTGGACGGATGAGATGTCTTAGATGGCTGCGGCATGGGTGATGGTACCCTTGCCGTGGGGTAGGTGTTCTCATCTTCCTTGAGTTGTATCTTCTCATCTTCCTTGTTTCTCACCTCTTTTCCACTTCGTAATGTGATAGCCTTTGCAGATTCGAAGCCACCCTTTGGATTGACCACTGTAGTGCTTGGTAACTTACCATTTTCACGGAATTGCCCCAAAAATTCGGCCATTTGGCCCATTTGCTTCTTCAGCTCATTAACCTCCTTTGCTTGGTTCTGCATTCCCTGCGCCATGGTGGTTAGTAACTGATATGTTTTATCATCATTCATAGACGTACCTGGGTTAGTTTGGGAAGATTGTGCCTGAGGAGGTGGTTGTGGTTCCATTGGCCTTGGAAAGAAACCCGGGGGTTGTCGGAATCCACTTTGTTGGCCATATTGTGGTGCATCTCTCCATCTGAAATTGGGGTGATCACGCCATCCCGGGTTGTATGTATTGGAGAAAGGATCATTCCTTGGTTGGTTTTGATTCCCATAACCTACAGCATTGGCCGATTCCCATCCTCCATTCTCAATTAATTGAGGGCATTGATCAGATTGGTGTCCTTGAATGGAGCATACACCACAGATTGTAGTTCCTTGCGTTTTGGGGCCTTCAACCAACTGCGATAACATAGACGTAAGGTTAGCCATTTGGGACTGTAACTCAGAAATAGAACTTACCTCATTGACATGATGTGGCCGTGGGGGTGTCTCTTTTGCCCAACACCTTCATATTGTTGTGCATTGAGTGCTCGATTCGCAATGAGGGTTTTGGCATCCCTAGGTGTCTTATCCACTAGAGCTCCTCCCGCGGAAGCATCCAACATTTTGCCGTTCAAGTGGTAAAAGACCTTCGTAAAAGTATTGAAGAAGTAGCTCCTCCTTCATCTGATGCTGTGGACAAGAAGCAACAAGTGATTTAAATCGTTCATAATAAGATGGGAAAGATTCACCTTGGCTTTGCTGAATTCCACTTATTTTTTTACGAAGAAGAATGATGCGAGAAGTTGGGAAAAAACTTCTCCAGAAACGCCCTCTTCATACTCTCCCAAGATGTAACTGTACCGGGAGCCAACTCGTATAAACCAATCCTTGGCTTTGTCCATTAAAGAGAATGGAAAAGCCTTCATCTTTAAAAATACTTCCGTCAACGGTAACCGGAGTCATACTTGAGCACACCACTTCAAATTCCTTCAAATGTTTGTTCGGATCCTCTATGGAAAGCCCATGGAACTTTGGAATGTGGTGGAGCAAACTTGACTTTAACTCGAACTCTTCGGTTTTACCTTGAGCAGCCATGGGATATTGGATACACAATGGTGCGGCATTATCCAAACCTGAGGCGGCAAGCTCCTTGAGCGTACGGTTGTCCATGGCTATACCTTGCTCTTCTCCACCCACTTGTGCCGTGGCCTTCTCTTCAACCTCAACTTCTTGCTCTTCTAATTCAGGCTCGGGACTAGGAGGATTAGACTCTTGTAATTTCTTTTTCCTTCTCAAAGTCCTCTCAAAATCACCGTCAAAGTCGGAGATATGCTCACGAACAGGTTGTGAGCTACGGGTCATAAACTAGTACCTAAAAACAAAGAAAACAAAACAAATCAGCAACTTAAACAGAAACTTAAACAAAATACAATAATTCGAAAGAAAACAATCCAAGAGATTAGCAAAGTTGCTAATCCCCGGCAACGGCGCCAAAATTTGATGCGTAAAATAAGTTAACACACAAAATTAAACCCTCTTTTTATCAAATGTAGTAAAGTATGTAAGTAGGGATCGTTCTAGGCCGGGGATTAGGAGGGATTGCTAAACACTTGAAAACTGACTTAAAAACATAAAAACAAAATTTTAAAACACTAAACTAGACTCAAAGAATGCAAAACTATACTTTAAAATACTTAAACAAACATAAAACTCAAAACAGCAACCTAATGACTCAAAACTGCCTAAAAACCACTTTCTGGGGTAGTTTTGAGAACCTAACAAGAACTTGGACGAAGTTGGATGAAAACTTGAATCAAAACACTTAGAAACACAAATCAAAAACACTTTCTAACTAATCTAAGACTTCAAAATAAAAAAGGGGATTTGTTTTGGACGAAAATTGAAAACAAAACAGAAACTTTAAAACAAAACAGATTGTAAAACGTTTTTTGGATGAAAAGGATGGATAAAAGGCTAGTTAGGAGGTTCTTCTCCACACATGACACACTTGCAAACAAAATGATTTTCAGTTGTTCTTTCAATAAATTATGAAACTCAACACCCCAAGTTAATTAGATACGCTTAAATTAACCTTCAAGTTCTCCTTAAGTTAATGAATTGGATGGAAAAGCGCATACAACAATTCAAAGCATTCCTCAAAGGTTCCTTACGTGATGAGCACAATAAAGATACAATCAAGAATCATGAAGCACAATGAGAACTATAAGTGTTGACGAGGCATTCGTTACTATGATGAGCATGAAACTAGTGCCAAGAATTCATTCAGCGCGATCGTTTTCAAGCGACCTTCACTACTTGTAATTATAAGATTGTAACTATTAGGTGAAACTCCCTCATAATCTAGCATCATATTCATGCATGAAAACTAAGCGTGCACTCTCAATCAACATACACAAATAAGTTATCAATCAAGTAGATGAACGAATTGAATCCGCAACTTATGAAATAACAACTGAATGTAATCAAATCATATTGCAAGCATGTACATGGTTTCGAATCACCCCCCAACTAAGGGGGTTTAGTTCCTCATTCTTGCAATACAAAGATACATAAAATTAGACATTAAAATCAAAGGTAAGAAAACACCTAAAATGCTCCAACTTGGAAAGCAAGTGCATCAATGGATCTCCCTTCCTCCTTGTTGCGGCATGAAGCTTGTGGACAGATTTTTGGGTGGATTTATGGTGTGTAGAATGGATGGGGAATGATATGGAGGGGTTTAGGGTGAGTGTGGAAGAGTGTTTGATGGTTGGAAGGTGGTGGAGAACTAGGCAAAGAGGGTGGAAGAAGGTGGAGTGGCGATTATGTTTTCTAGGCACTAGAATGGTGTTTTTGGGGTGTTTTGCTTCCTAGGGTGTGTATGGACGAATTTCTGTGATAAAATGATGAATATGGGGGATTGTTCTTTGGCCAAGGGGTGTAAACATGTATTTATAGGCCCCCAAAAACCTTAGAAAATCAGGTTAGGTTAAGGATGAAATGCATGGTAATTTGTGTGTGTGTGGTGTGCAATGGTCCAAGGGTGAAAATGAAGTGATGATGCAAAGTGTGAAGGGTAAAATGGAGTGGTCTTGAAGCTAGGGAGCATGAATGATTGTGTACATTGCATAGAGATGGAAAGGGAGGTGAAAATGTGTCAATAAATGGGTCAAAGGTGCAGCAACATGTGGTACACAAGGCATGGGATTCCAAATGTGAATGATGAAGCATCAATTGGTGCATGTAATGGATGTAAATGTTGTCTAAAATCTAATGAGTGAAGGGAACAAGAGGTATCAAGCAATTGAGTGTAATAATTAAATGAATTGAAGCATGAAAATTAGAAATTATGTAGGGGACAAGAGTGATCAAGCATGGCATGGAATCCAAAGGGAATTCTATGTGGTTTGCATGGCAAGGAATGCAAGTTGGGGTGACAGATTTTTGGGCTGTTTTCTTCATCTTTTGGACCATAATTCTTCATATTCTTGGCCTCTTTAGTTCTCAAATTCGTCCATCCACTTGGCCCATGCATTTGCTATCCATTCCAAGCCCGAAACATGCTCCAAAGGCCTCCAAAATGCATCTTCTTGCATACTTTGTACTTAGAGTCTGAAAACACACGAAAATGACTTTAAACATTAAAATAACTAAGGAAACACGACATAAATGCACAAGAACAAGCCAACTAAGTCGCATAAATATGCTCCTATCAGTGCGGAAGGTAGTTACCCATACAATGGTACGGATGGGACATGCAACACCAAGGAGGAAGCCAACATTGCAGCCATGATAAGTGGCTTTGAAGATGTGCCTGCAAACAGTGAAAATGCCCTCCTCATCGCTGTTGCTCATCAACCTGTTTCTGTTGCTATTGATGCTAGCGGTTCTGACTTTCAATTCTATTCAAGTGGTGTCTTCACTGAAACTTGTGGAACAATCCTCGATCATGGCGTTACAGCTGTTGGTTATGGAGTGAGCGATGATGGGACTAAGAGCTGGTTTGGTATAGCTGTGCTTTAAAAAAAAACTGTTGTGAGAATAAGCGACTGTAGTATGAGAATTGCTTGGTAAACTTTTTTGTAAAAGTGCTTTTGGAAAGAAAAAAAAACAGTATGATAGTGTTTGGTAAACTTTTATGTAAAACAGCTGTGACTGTATGAAATGACCAAAAAGGGTATAATACTAGATGTGCTATTAATTTAATTTTCTTAACAAATAAAAGTGAATTATAATATAGTTTTTTAAAATAAAAATATTTATAAAATTTATCTTAAATATTAATTAAGGGGTGCTCGTTGGAGGGTTGGCGATGGTTTAAATATAAAGATTTGGGGGTGATAGTTGGTTACCAAGGGAGACTTTCTATAAAGTTCTAAGTGCTAGACCGGCCGGGGTACATCCTTCCATCACTGTGCATTCTTTAATGGTAGAAGATAACGGGATGCACTGGAATACAAACCTAATTCATACTTGGTTTATGGAGGAGGAAGCTAATTTGATTTTGAGTATCCCTCTGAGTTTATTTAATCCTACAAATTCTTTGATTTGGACTAAGGAGTCTAAGGGTGTATTTACGACTAAGAGTGCTTATTTTGTGGCTAGAACATGTCATGGTCTTGGGGGGGATGAACCGGTTGAGTCTGCGTTACATGAGGATACCAAATTTCTTTGGAAGGCGTTGTGGCGTGCAAAAGTACCGGGGAAGGTCAAAGTTTGTGTTTGGTGTGGGATTATGAATGCTTTGCCAACGAAAGTGAATTTGAAGACTAGACGGGTTCTTTCAGAGGTTATATGTGGGTTTTGTGATAAGGAGGCAGAGACAGTCGAACATGCCCTATTACAATGCCCACGCTTAGTTGCAATTTGGTTTAGTAGTCCATTGGAATTTGTTTATTTCAGAGAATAGAGGAGAGCTTTGGTGGTTGGTTGATTGATATGGCGAAAAAAATCAAAAAGGACAGCTTTGAGTTGCTTTTGGTGTTGGTGTGGAGCGTATGGAAGGCCCGTAACGAATTTATTTGGAAAGGTGTGGATGTTTCCCCAGTGGATGTGCACCTTAAAGCCCAATCTTGGTTGACGGAATTTAAGAAATGGAATGAGGTTCAATCACCTTCACCAACGGTTCGTGTTCACAAGTGGAAACATCCGGAGTTTGGATGGATAAAGTGTAACTTTGATGCGGCTTGGGAGGAGAATGGTTTGTATGGAGGTATAGGAATTGTGGTTCGAAAAGCTACAGGAGGTTTTATAGCTGCAATGGCTTTGCGGGAGACTGGTATCACTTCGGCTCTGCATACAGAGGCAGTTGCTGCACGCAGTGCAGCATTGTTTGCTCGGCATTGGCGTGAACAACTGGTGCAGGTGGAAGGCGATGCTTTAATGGTGGTTTTCGCTATACAGAGTGCGGGAACAGCTTTCTTGGGTCACTTTGGTCATCTGTTTGCTGATACCAGGCGCATCTTGCAAGAATTCAAGTAATGGAAGATTTCTTTCGACCCAAGGGAGACGAATAAAGTGGCTCATCGGCTAGCAAGGTGAAGTTTAACGGTTAATCATCCCATTTCTTGGTTTGAAGAACCCCCTGATATTATATCTGATTTATTATTGGAGGATAGTCTTTCTTGTTAATTTGGTGCGGGACACTCTTTTTTCCTTCGATTGGGTTGAAAGCCCCTGCAAGGTTTTTATGGAGGCCCATTGTTAGCACCCTATCCTTGAATTGTACGTTTTATCTTCATTTCAATGAATATCGTACTTGCTTCAAAAAAAAAATTAATTAGTATGACAAACTATTTCAATTGAAATATTTTAGACTGAATAGCTAGGATTCATTGGTACAATATTGTTAATGTACTTGAAAGTAGTCTAATTAGATGAATTCATCAAACTTGCCGCTATTCTATTTCTTAATGCTTCTATCTCATGGGATCCTTCAACTTGATAATTTTGGTATTCATCATCATCATCATCATCACTACTATCGCTCTCTTCACAATAGTCCCTGGGGTCATCAAAATGACGATCACGTTCAGAATACCTCCATATGTAGTTATGAAAAGCCATTGTAGCAATGACAATCTTCACTTGCTTATTGAATGGGTAATTAGGCATATCCCTTAAAATTGCCCATCTTTTCTTCCATACCCCAAAAGTTCGTTCAATGATGCTCCTAAGAGAAGAATGCATGTGGTTGAATACCCCTTTATGACCCGTTGGTTTGGGACCCCTACGAAAATCCAGGAGATGATATCTTTCACCTTTATATGGTCCCAAACAACCTCTCATTTGTGGGTACCCCGCATCTACCAAGTAATATTTTCCTGAAAATTGAAAATTTTGTTTTGTATTGTAATAATTATACAAAGCAAGTATGTAAATTGTTATAAATAAATATGAAGATTACCATTTGGAGGCTTTGAAAAGTTTAAATTTGGATTCCGTAGCACGGATAAAAAAACTCTTGTATCATGTGTAGTGCCTTCCCATCCGGCACAAGCAAATGTGAATTGCTTGTCAAAATTACATGCAGCCATAACATTTTGAGTCGGCATTCCTTTCCTACCAATGTATGGAACTTGATCCGGAGGTGGTATTGAAGCCTCAACATGTACTCCATCTATGGCACCAATACAATCCTAAAAATAATAACATAGAAGAAAACCGTCAACCTACACTTTTGGTTTGCAAACACTTATAGTTTACAAATAAGTTGGAAGACGAGTCAAACTTTACCTTAAAATAAGGCATGTATCTTGTATCTCTCCTTATTTCTTGGGGAATGCCACGAAACTCCAAATCCATCGGTTTGATAATATCTATTGTCATCTTACATACGATATCTAACATAACACCAAAATATCTAGTAACAGTCTCACTAGAATGTTGAAATCTCTCTTGCGCTAATCTATTTTTCACACCATGTCCCAACATATCAAAGAACATTCCTAATATTTCAATTGCATTCATTTTCCTTGAACCTTTCAATCCATAATTAGTTTGCAAGTCATTGGATAATCTATAAAAGACATCTTTGTTCATCCTAAACATTCTATAGCATCGCACATCATTTCCTCGTAGTACTTCCATCAACCAAATATTACCTGTTTGGGAAGAATTCATACACGGAGTTTTGTGGACATATTTTAAATAATATGTTTCAACAGCTCTCGCTATAGCGCATATAATTACACCATCCTTCAAATCCTGAACATCATCATCAGAGGTATTCATATTGAATGTACACCTGTAACCTACACATAATTCAACATTCCACAAGTCATAATCCAACAATCACTAAAGAAGTTGTTGATTCACAAAACCGGAGGGGTCTTGGAATAACATAAATTCGACCATGAATCTGCAAGAAAGTAAAGAACACAAGATGTATCGTGGTTCACCCCAATGTTTGGGCTACGTCCACACTGATGTTGATATTGTTTCACCCTGAATGGTGAATATACAAAAAGGCTAGAGGCAGTGTGCTCTCTAGCCTATTTTCTGTGTGCTCTCTTCCCATGGCCTAAAACTTGGCCTCCCTCAATGAAGAGAGTGAAGAGTCCTTTTATAGAATAAGGGCTCCTCACTTATTACATATTTGCCCCTTCATCTATTACATAATTACATTTGAGTCCCTCGAGTATTTATACGAGGTCTAAATACAGAGGCCCTAAATATGGTACAAACAGTAAGACCCCTCTGGTTTTGTGCATCAACATTTGACGCTGTCTATGGGAAACGACAAGAAAAGCTGTGTCGGTTCTCTTTTATTTTTTTCATCTCACCACTGTGAATCTGCAAAAACCTAAGAGCCCAAAGCCTCAGTGCCCGTCCTTTGTTCCTCCACCACATCAAGATAACTCCCAAACTCCACCATCTCTCTACTCTCCAGAGAGAGAAACAATACACACAGAGGAGAGGGAGAGAGAGAAAGAGAGAGAGAGAGAGAGAGAGAGAGATCGAAAGCTCCAAAGTTGAGATCAAAATTCAAATCAAAGTTTGTTAATGTTATTTTTCCAACCCAGAAAACCCGACAAGAAGAAGTCAATTTATAGCTGCTAAAACACTGTAATTTTTTGAGCAAATCGAGCTGACCAGGACCAAAAATGGGATGCTGCTATTCGAGGGTAGAACGGGAAGAAATGGTGTCTAGATGTAAATCGAGAAAGCGGTACATGAAGCAGCTGTTGAAAGCACGGTAAGCTTGGTCGGTTGCTCACACCATGTACCTTCGCTCTCTCCGCAGCACGAGCTCTGCTCTGCTTCAGTTTTCGAATGCTGAAATTACCCTTCATCATCACCACCACCACCTCAACAACTACAACCACCACCACAACTACAATCACCGCCACCATAACAACTACCAATCCCAGCAAACCCCGCCAACCCCATAACCACCTCCGCCATCACCTCCACTCAGCTCAAGCTCCGATTCGTGGACGACTTCCACCACCTTCAACAACTCGCACACCTCCGCTGCCACCGCACCTTCGTCCACGTGGGATTTCTGGGACCCATTTGCGGCTTCCTCTTCAAGGCCAGTGATGGAAGAATAGTGGGAAACTATGACTATCGCTTCGAAGGCAGTGATCACCGTCACTGCGGCGAGCACGGTGGAACTGTCGTCGGTGGTGAGCGGATTTTCAAAAGAGAGCGGGATGACGACAAGTAAGCTGGCGATGGTGGTTGTAGACATCGAAATTTCGGTAAATAAATGTTGACCGATAAATCAAAGTTTCAACACTCATGTATTACATAAATTTTACACGTAGCGTGTGTCTAAACAAAAAATCGAAATAAATTGGAAAAGTCATCAAACAGGACACGTGTCAACACCTGGCAGAAACGACTTATTTCATCTGGAATATTATATTCAAAATTAGGCCTTGGAAATTTCTATAAATAGAAGGCTAATTCATTCATTTAAGGGGAGGAATTCATATTACACCTTGAAGCTCTGAAGCTCTGAAACTCCAAAGTTCTCAAGCAATTCCCGAAAGATCAAGAAAGCCATT